CAGGGGGACACTGGGACTTAGGAAACAAAGGTCTCTTCTCCATCTCAGCACACTGAGAAACTGTTCAGAATGCAAAATGTGGAAGTGGGGCCGCGTGCAGAAGATCAGCTGCTGCAGAGATCCACTTAAGGTGCCAGACGCAAAAGGAACAGCTGCTTAGAGGTGGAAGAGTTTGAATATTGACAAAATCAAGGCTATTTCTCTTTGAGAGTGGTCCCAAACACTCTGTGTATCCTGCACTCAGCGTCGCCTTCACTTCTAAGATCCCCTTGCTTTATTCTGGGTGCGCACACTGGGGCATGGTAGGCAGGAAGTAATTTCCTAAGTGTCCCTTCTGCTTCTGTTAAGGTTAACCTCTGTATTTGAAAAATGGAAGCATTTAAGTCTCAATCCCAAAGAAAAGCCCTGTAGGGCATAATTCTGTCTGACTGGTTTCTGTGTGGGTATCCTCCTATGACATCAAAGGAAATGGTGTTTTACTGTAATACAGCTTGTCCAATGTACAATCTAGATTATGGAAAAAATAACCTTTGAATAGATCCATAAACTATTATACCATCTTACAGCTTGAATTATTCAACCACTGTGTCAGACTATTTGTTTGTAAAATTACTTTGTTTCTGTTTTTGTCCTATTTTTATGTTTAAACACTGAAAACAACCTGGAATTCTAAGAGTATCTAAGTTACATTGTGTATATATACTATAATAATGCATTTATACTGCCAGTATGAAAGCCATGCAGAGGCAAAATGAAAACTAATGAGTGTTAGGTGAGCGTGGCCCCAAACAGATGAGTTTCTGTCACAAAACTGCATATCTGAAGGAAATGAAGGCAATCTGAGTTCCTCTCTGAGAAACTATGATTCCGGTGAAACAGATACCAGCTTCTCACCCGACAGGTCAAAACATACTGGAGTTTGGAAAAAATCCCCTCCCAATAACCTCTAGTGCACCCTGGCTGTCTTGTTGACATTCTATCATCTGTAGTGGTCTACTGAAATAAGTCCATCAAAATTATAACAAGTCAAGACTCTTACAAATCCCACACAGAATACCAGCCTAATTTATCCTTTTTAATTTATGCTTTGACCGAGGGTTGTACAAACTGAGTCCTGTTTTCAGAACTATGGCCTTAGTTTAAAAAGAAAAGCAGAAACAAATTATCAATAGCAATTTCTTTCCAATCCTTCGGAAAGGGATTCTGGCACTAAGATTATAACGATGCACACTAAGATAGACCCCCAACACTGGAAACTCAAAGAAAGACTGAACGGTTCAGGTTTGGCTAAATTGTAGAGCTCCAAATTTTTGGAATCTGTCAATAACACCTGAAGGAGTCTTTACAAAAGTTTAAACTTGGGTGCTGTTTCCAAAGAATAAAATGAAAAGGCTCTTTTAAAAAGGCCATTTTAAAGCTATATCCACTAATACATGCCTTTGGTTTTAAATATATTAATATTCAACTTAAATGAAAGCCAGAACTGAAGAGATAAGGGGGAAAAATTACATTAAATTCAATCATAGTTAAGATTAGGCATGAAACCAAAACTTACCAGAGTCAATAACCTGAGGCATGGAAATACAAGCATTCCTATTTCTCCCCAAGTCTAGTTTCACAGACAAATTTGTTTCAAGATCTCAGGCAAATTTTCGTACTCATTAAAACCCACTGCCATCAAGTTGATTTTGACTCTGTATAGGATTTCTGAGGTTATAAATCACTTTGAGAGCAGAAAACCTCATCTTTCTCCTGCAGAGCAGCTGGTAGGATTGAACTCCTGATTTCGCAGTTAGAAGTCCAGTGCTTAGCCTACAGCTCCACCAAGGCTCCTTTTCTTACTCATTAGATGTGTATTTTCATCAAATCAGCTATCATAGTTACAGCGAAGACTCCCTCAGTACATACTAGTAGATAATTAAAGGGATCCTACCACAGTTTACAAAGGAGCTCTGGTAGCGTAGTGGTTATAAATTGGGCTGCAAACCTCAAGGTCAGCAGTTCGAAACCACCAGCTGTTCCGCGGGAGAAAGATGAGGCTTTCTGTTCCCCTAAAGATTTACAACCTCGGAAACCCTGTACAGGGTCACTATGAGTCAGAACCGAGTCCACGGCACATAACAACAACAACCACACTTTACAGTCAGCATTTTATGGCCTTTGCTTTTACTAGTGTTCATCAAAACAGACTCCAAAAAGCCTTGAGAAGATGCAAAAGCTTCAGTAGAGGCAGTCTCCTTCTTAAACACAGATTTTGTTGGGGGTCCCCTCAGAAACAATGTATCTGTGCTAGTTACCTTCCTAGTCCACACAGTGACCTGTAACATAGAAGACAGACACTATACACACACACAGCTTGATTACCACATAAGCAGTCAATCCTCATGGTTTGTGGGTTCTGCACCTGCAAAACTGACCACTTGTTACTTTTATGTACAACCCCAGAATCAATACTCAGGATGCTTCCATGGCCATTCTGGGATATGTACTGAGTGGCAACAAATTAGACTCGCCAGATGCACAAGGCTGGTTTGCTGTTGGTAAGTGCCATCTAGTTGGTTCAGACTCATAGCAACCCTGTATAGGGTTTCTGAGGAGCAGCTGGTGACTTTGACCCTCCGGTCCAGTGCTTTTCTTACAGCATTCCACCAGTACTTGGAATGCACTAAGTCGATGTTTGCAGGAACTTAGAGAATATAACTACTATAAGTGACAAGAATCAACTGTATCACATTCTCAGACAGAAACCGAAGCGCTTCCATTGCCTGGGAGGAAGAACAAGGAATGAGGTATTATTTCTGGGCACTAGAATATTGCTAATATTTAATAGTTGGAAACTATTTATACAGTATATCTAATTATCCAGAAAAAGCATACTTTTGGAGTTCTTAAGCTCCACATCCACTAAATAAGGCCCAGACTGAAGAACGGGGCAGTGGTGGTGAATGTGTTTCTGTGTAAGACAGTATAACTGGATACCTGGGTATTCATCAACAAAGACGATGAAACTGGGTGATGCTGACTTGTCAGCAACTAGAAGGAGGAGGAAAGCACAGCACTTGTATGGCCAGACCCTGAGTTCCAGGAAGACAGAAACCACGTCATTGTATTCTTTCACTGTACAGCCCCAGCTCCCAGGACCATTCCTGGAACAGAGTCGGTATGCTGTATGTCTGACTTGTGGAAAGGGTCTGAACTTAAAAGCGAGATATGTAGTGTTTCTGTTTTCATATGCCAGGAGTCTGACCGAGGCTGGATGAATTCTTCACATGTGCAAGCCTGTAGACAGAAGCCTGACCATACCTAGAGAACATAGTACAGGCTGGATGGTTTGATTTTTGAGCAGTGTTCCTTGATAGAGAAAAAGCTTGTTGCCAATGAAATTCAAGGGCTCAGGGAGTTAGTTCACTCAATAAGATATTCGTAACTGACACTTCCCTGCTAACATGCACCAAAGTGTCATTCTAAACAAAGGCAAAGGAAACCCAATCAAAGGAAAGTGTACCAATAACATGTACTTAATTTTAAAAAAGTACTTAATGGGGAGTCCTGGTGTGATGTTGTAGAATAAGCACTGGACCACAAGGTCAGTATGAATCACAAGGTTGGCAGTTCAAACCCACCAGTTACTCCTTGGAAACTCTATCCAGGGTTGCTATGAGTTGCAAACAACTCCATGGCACTTAACAACAACAACAACATATGTAGTAAATAACTCAATATGCTTCAAAATACCACATTTGGAAGCCCAGGAAATGGGTCCCAAAGATAGCCCCAGCATTAATTTTATTCTCAGAGAGGTTACCTGATGACAAGCAGACCTGAGTACTGACAGACTAACAGCTAAGTCTGGGTCTGGCTTAGGTCAGAGTCAGTAAACAGCCTTTACACCGTCCCCAGTCACTGGGTCTGCTGACAAGCTGAATGATGGGAAACCTGATTAGGGCAAGATAGAAAGCCTGCTAGGAAGATAATTTGGTAGAGATCTGCTCACTTCTTGGAGCTCCTACTATCTTTCTATTTTAGTCCTTTTTTGCCCCCCCTTTAAAAAAAAAATAAATTGTGGTGTAAAAATATACAACAAAACATTTACCAATTCAACAGTTTCTAAACACACAATTCATTGACACTGATTATGTATCTCAGTCCTTTCTTGATTAAAAAAAATAAGTTAGGAATAAAACCAAGTTTCAAGAAATCTCAAAATAAAGTAAAACCGCTCTAGAGTCCTCCTAAACCAGAAAATCCAGGAGAGAGCTGGCTGCAAAGCTGAAGCTCCTACCCAGTCAGGTCGTCACTGAGTCTCTACCTAAACTGAGGATATCACCTGGGATCTAGGAAAGTCAGTGTTACCTGTAGCTCCCTGCTGAGAAGGAGACCAGGACCCACGGATGCTCGAACAGGAGTGGCAACACCTTCAGGGAGTACACTTAGTGAAAACACAGGCTGCCTGCTTCGGGCAGCTTCCTTAAGCTGCCTTTCCTTTCCTTTCAGGCTTCCACGAGCTGGGGCCACTCCTTTATAAGGTTTCCAGACAGCATTTTCCACAATTACAACTGTGTTTGTGGTCAGTAATGCCTACTTGTCCCACTAGACTGTATGTCCATGAGGCTGGGTCTGGGTCTAACCTTTCCACCAGGCCCCCAGCGCCTGACACACAGCTGCCAATTCCTGGTGGTGAGTACAAGAATGAATGGACAATCTGGATGTCAAAAGACAACCCTGGGATGAGAAGGCTTTGTCCATAGAACATACTTGTGTTGTTGTAGCTTAAATGCCGTTGAGGCATTTCCAACCCATAGCGACCTTGTGTAGGGTTTCCAAGGAGCAGTTGGTGAGCTTGAACTGCCGACCTTGCAGTTCAAACTGACTTTGCAGTCTGGCGCATTAACCCACAGTGCCACACCAGGACTAACTAGAGCCATCTAAATCTGAAAAGAGGAACTTCCTTTTCTGTAGAACCACAGGAGGCAGGAAGAGCACAAAAAAGAGATACTTACTGGTGGAGGCTTCTTCCTCATCTCAAAAGTGCGTGTGGCACCAAAGCTGAGCGATGCGATGACGGGGCAGCTCCCCAGTGAGGGTTCATCATCACTGTGCCAGTCCACGCTGTCCTTCTCATTGCGATAAAGATTGCAGAGTAAGGAGTTGAAGTTGTAGCCGGTGTTCCGTTCGATGCGGTTCTTCAGCGTGCTCAGCACAGGATGCCACTGTGATCACAGGCCACGCCACGGGGCAGCCACAGTCACATCACACAGAGTGACAACCACAGCAGAACAGAAACAAAGCGCAAAATCAGTCAAGTTACGGCATGCAATCAACAGAAGAGTTTAATTCCCTCCCACTCCTATGAATGCTATTTGAAGGAAGGTGACCGCTGCATTTTTATAAAGGCATTAAATTTGGTCTAGAATGCCATGAGGAGCAAGGCCTACCCGCCCATCTCATTCTGTCTGTGTTCAACACATGGCCCTGCAAAGCAGCACTTGTCCACATCTAGGACAGTCACCTTGGCAAGCCCTTCAGACATGAAGTACAGCACTAAGCCTAGGGACCACCATGGCAGACTTGTCACCAGGTCAATGCAAAAAGACTCAGTGTGAGAAGCAAAACAGCATCCCGCCTGGCTGGCCCTCTGGTGCATTCTATTCCAATATTTTGTCATGAATGGCAGATTTGCTTGCAAAAAGATATTTGATATTATCAGACTAATTAATGTCCTACATACAGAACGTGATGGGAAAAACAGATCTTTTCTACAGAATGGTAATCCTAACAAGCTCTTAATAAGTATATAAGCTGTGAGTTTTAGAATATTTAAACAGATTTCACTACCTTTCCTATTGTGCACCAAGTTCACTTGGCATAGCTTTTACTTGAAACTTAAGAGAAAATCGCCACCTTGTCACAGATATAGTAGCCATGATCACAGCTTGTACAGGTTCTGTGTCTCTCCTCCCAAAATATCAAGTGGAGCCCTGGTAGTATAGTAGTCACATGTTGAGCTGCTAACTGTAAAGTCAGCAGTTCAAATCCACCAACTGTTCCACAGGAGAAAGATGAGGCTTTCTGCTCCTGTAAAGATTTACAACCTCAGAAACCCTATACAGGGTCACTCTGAGTTGGAACCAACTCCACGGCACATAACCACCACCACCACTTACATTTTGTAGTCCTGCTGTAGCACTATAGGATAAGCACTAGAATGCAAAGTCAGTTTGAACCACAAGGTTGACAGTTCAACCCCACCAGCTGTTCCTCAGAAACCCTTTACAGGGTTGCTATGAGCTGGAACCGACTCCACGGCACTTAACAACAACAACAACAAGCCATACAGAGGTTCCTTTAGGACAACAGTGCTCAAACTTTATACTATTAAAAAGCTCACTCCTGGTAACAGAAATATTCTTTTGATGAAAATTAATTTTATTTCCCAATACAAAATTTGGTGAAAAGAGTGGCACTGTTTTGTACATCTCCCCATTGTCTGCCTTAATATACAAAAACAGACTCTCACAACTCCTGCTATACTCTATCTGCTCAGTAAGTTGCTTTGGTTGAAGCACATGAAGAGAATTGGCTTCAGAAAGATATTTTGTTAAAAAGGGGGAAAATATTTAATAGCCTTTTCAAATAATAGTAGATTTTCTGCTTTGAGAATACAGCCACCCCTCCTTTATCGACATAGTTGGTTTCAAAGACTAGTTATTATAGGAAAATTGTCTTTATGTGCAAACTGACACTATGAAGATGGAGGCACGTACATCATTACACAGATGTCAGCATTACTAACTACCAGACTGTTGGTCTCCCATCTCAGGGTTCACTCTAGCCCGTTATGTCATAAATGTGCAAATTGTCTGATAGATTTCTTTACTGTTATCCTAAGTGCAAAGTGCAGACAACGACATCGTTGATAGGAGAAGAGTATACCCAAACTCAGCAAATGCTAGCTTCTTCAGATTAGCTGTGGAACTTGAAACCGTATAAAAAAAATTCTTACATTCTGTTTATGTTAAAATTCACTTATCTAGCTTGTATTTTTAATGAATCTCTTAACCTTACATTATTTCATGACATTGCACATTGTTCTTTTGGAAAATACTGATTTACTGAAGTTGACACATTTCATTAAACAATCACCAAAAAAAAAAAAAAAATCATATTTTTAAGATTACCTCTAATCTTATCATAAAAGTCTAAGAAAGACTCAAAATAGAGGACACAAGTTTTCCAACATAGTAATTTTAGCTTGAAAATGAAAATTTTATCAGTAGCTACAAATTCTATGCATTGTTTTCCTACAATTGAAACTCACTTCATTTACAAGAAAATGGTTTGTCTGCCAGTGGTTCTTTCAAGCAAAAATGGTCCATGAAAAAAGTAGCCAGCACAGCTCATAACAGTCACACAGGTGCTTTTCCTATGCTTGAGGATAAATCCCAGAAAGAAATTCTGGTAAGAATGTTGACAAGATGCATTCCCTATTTGCTTTATGGCTTTAAACTTAACTCCATGGAGATACAGACCAGGTACTACAATTACACACTTAACAAGAAAAACAGGAGGAGGAAAAGAGCTTTTCTGCACTGTGGCTGAGAAACGAACTAGCAATTGTCTGGCTTGCTGAGCACTGGGATAGCACCACGCTAGCAATATGTTTTTTAAGTGGGTATAGCTTTTCTTTTGGTTATTTTTGGTGGTGAAGTAGGGACAAAAAGAGAAAAATGGGAATAATGAACTAGGGAACTAAATTTAGACTCTCTAACCCAGTACTCTATGAAGATCCCTCAGAAACAAATGCCTGAATTAAAATTCAGTGTCATCTCACTGTTCAGTGAAGACATTCTATCCTTAGAAGACACTGGAGAAAAAGCGGATGAGAAAACATGAATCACAGACACGAAAGGACCTATTTGGTAGACTTCAAACAGCATGTGGCCGAGTGCTTACTTATCCCAGAATGCTTTGGAAATAAAGCAGAAGAAAAGGGTCAAATTGGTGGGACAACCACCAACTGCCCTGCTTTGTTGATTTGCTTTACTTATTGAGTTCATATAAAACTTAGTTTCAACAAACGCTAAAAGATGTTTAAAAACCTATGATTAAGCAAGGACCCTCAACCCACAGATACACATTAGTGAATCTCCCTTTACAAAGTGCTGAGAAAAGGGCATCTTTTGGGATTTTGTTCAAGAAGTATATAAATTAAGTCTATTGCAATAAATACAAAGTTATGAATCAACCAAATTCAATTATTCTAATTTGACACCCGTATCAGTCAACTGTTGTTGTTGTTAAGTGCCGTCGAGTTGGTTCCGACCCATAGCGACCCTGTACAGGGTTTCCGAGGGTGTAAATCTTTACGGGAGTAGAAAGCCTCATCTTTCTCCCGCGGAGCGGCTGGTAGTTTCGAACTGCTGACCTTAAGGTTCGCAGCCCGTTTCGTAACAACTATGCTACCAGAGCTCCTATCAGTCAACTAAAGGGGCTTATTTGAACAAATTATGGTATATATGGATTATGCATTACCATGCAGCCAATGTGGAAAATGAGTAGCCCAGAATACTTAATTGCGCTCATGAGGAAGCTGTACACGGACCGACAGGCAGCCATTCCAACACAAACAGGGGACAATACAATCAGGAAAGGTGTGCAACAGGGCTGTATTTTTTCACCATACTTAATTCAATCTGTACACTGAACAAATAATCTGAGAAGCAGGATTATATGAAGAAGAACGTGGCATCAGGATTGGAGGAAGACTCATTAACAACCTATGATATGTAGATAACACAATCTTGCTTACTGAAAAGGAAGAGTACTTAAAATACTTACTGATGAAGTTCAAAGACCAACACCTTCAGTATCGGTTGTACCTCAATGTTAAGAAACAAAAATCCTCACCACTGTACCAATATGATAAACACAGAAAAGACTGAAGTTGTCGAAGACTTCATTTTACATGGCTTCACTATCAATACTCATGGAAGCAGCAGTCAAGAAATCAAATGATACATGGCATTAGGCAAAACTGCTACACAAGGCATCTTTAAAAGTGTTCAAGAGCAAAGATGTCAGACTGAGGACTAAGATGTGCCTGGCCCAAGCCATGGTTTTTTTCAATAGCTTCATATGCATGTGAAAGTTGGACAATGAATTAATGAAGACCACAGAACAACTGATGCATTTCAGTTACATTGTTGAAGACAATTATCTACGAAAATCATGGACTGCTGTAAGAACAAATAAATCTGTGCTGGAATAAGTATAGCCTGAAGGCTCTTTAGAAGCCAGGATGGCCAGATTTCATCTCTCATACTTCAGACATACTATCAGGAGGGTCCAGTCCCTGGAGAAGGACATCATGCTAGGTAAAGTTGAGGGTCAGTGAAAAATAGGAAGACGCAGACAAGATGGACTGGTACAGTGGCAACAGGAATGAGTTCAAGCTTAGCAATGATTGTGAGGATGGTGCAGGACCAGAAAAAAAAGTCAGAAGAAACTTTGTAACTTGCTCTCCAGTATAGAGATGCTAAAGTGAATGGGAGAAATGAGGAAGTCAAAAGCTGAATAGAAAATTTCAAAGGGAGGCTAGAGAAGACAACGTATTATAATGAAATGTACAAAGACTTGGGAGTCAGAAAACCAGAAAGAATTCAGCATTTCTCAAGATGAAAGCTCTGAAGAAAAAATTCAAACCTTGACTTGTAATATCCAAGGGTTCTGAGGGTAAAAAATTCAAATGCTATCTGACACAGTGCTCCATTGCTATTCATAAGGTTTTCAGTGGTTAATCATTCAAAAGTAGTCCACCTCTCCTTCTTCCTACTCTGTCTTAGTCTGGAAGGTCAGCTGAAAACCTGTCCACCATGGGTGACACTACTAGTACTTAAAACACCCATAGTATAGCTTCCAGCATCACAACATGCAAGCCACCACAGTATAACAAACTGACAGATGAATGGCAAAGTGAAAATTTCAAAGAGAAACTCAAGATGACAAAGTCAAGTATTATGAAATATGTAAAGACCTAGAGTAAGAAAACCAAAAAAGAACATGCTCAGCATTTCTCAAGCTGAAAGAACTGACTAAAAATTCATGTCTCAACTTGCAATATTCTGTAAAGGCAAAATACTAAATGACTAAAAAGCATCAAAAGAAGATGGAAGAAATACACAGAGTCACTGTACCAAAAAGAAATGGCCAA